CTTTCAACATTAAATAAACAAATACACATTATTTAAACAACGATTTTCCGAGAAATGGGAGTGGTAAACATAAAAGGGCCGGATATCCCAAGTAGATACAAGTTCGTACATGTCTGGAAAATGTCAAGTGGGTCGGTGAAGTCAAAGGGTCGGAAATCCCAAGTTCGAGCATGTCTGGAAAATGTCAAGTGGGTCGGTAAACATCAAAGGACCGGAAATCCCAAGAAGTTCGATGCTGTCCATGGGGGGCTGAAATGGCTGACCCCCAACTGTGAAGAACTCAAGTCGGCTATATCGAGTGGACCCTCTCTGACGCTTGCAGGTTCAGATATGTTTGAGACCATTCCTCACCAGCTCATGAATTGGAATCACGAATTAATTGATTCGTGCTTCAATCAACCCTTTCACCCACCCACCCCGCGGGGTGGAATGATTCAGTCGTGAATAGTTTCCACTGAAGTCCAATAATATGTTAATTAATTAATCAATTAATTAGCCCGCGAATTAATTAACCCTTTCATCCACCCACCCACCCCCTCACTCGGGACGATTAATTATTCGGTGGGTGACTCTCTCTAGTACCCAAAGCGTGAATTAAAAGATTAATCCGCGAATCAAACCGCGACCCGCGAATTAATCAACCCTTTCACCCACCTTCTCGCGGGGGTGGGTTGAATACGTTGTCAATCAAACTCCTTTCAATCAAAAAATTGCAAATGAATTCATCAATCCGCGAATTAAACCGCGACCCGCGGATCAGACCGCGAATTACACCGCGACCTGCGGATTCATTAACCCGTTCACCCACCCGACCCACGCGCGGGGGCACTCTGACCAGGTCTTCGCCAGACCCTTGCCCCAGAACCCGCATTACTCATCTACTACGGAATGAATACCTTTTTATCGTTTCCAATGTTTGAGTGACGCGGGAAGTATTCATTTATTCTGTCGGCTCTCGCCGGTATAAAAGTCATTTGTTCGATGAACTGCGTTCGTTCTGCGTGCGCTGTGATCCAGAGAGGTCCACCACGAGCATTCGGTTTTTCAAGATGAAGTTTTGTGGTTTTTATGCCAAGAGTGCCTCGCCATTATGGCAGGAGATACATTTCGATGCCTTCATTCGGAATTTTAGGGTTTCATGTGGTATTGACCGAGATCGGAAATTCGGACGATTATGCGGGAATAAAATTTTTTGCGAGTTGAGAAATGCGGGGTTATCTCGAGACTCGGTTGACGAAGTAAATAGGAATCATTTCGAAAATTTAACTGTATGCCGATAGATGCGGATCTATTTCGGAGAAATTTCGGGAATGAAATGCAAATATTCCGAGACATTATGGTTGGCCAGGTAATGGCGAAGAAAACGCATTCGAGCGTGATGGTTAAGTATTGCAGGTATTATGGGACAATTTTTGTCAGTTTGAAGGGTTTCTTTTGTGTAGATTAATCCTAGCCTTAGCCTTGGGATTGGGATTTTTCTATTAGCGTTGAGATTTTACGATCTAGCTAGAATTATTATTATTATTATTTCTCTTGTGGATCTTCTTACGTATAGAATTGAAAGGAAGTCGAGATATTGTAAATTTATTGTGGTATTGTTCGATGATACTATTGCTTTTTTTTTGAATATTATTTCCCTTTTTTTGGGGGGAATTACTCTTGGGTATTATTTTGAACATTTTTGTTTCTTTTTGTATCATTTTTTTTCTGCAATATTATTTTGAGTTCATTTTCCTTGATAATGGGAAGATTAATTCTTTTGTTTTTGTTGGAATCTTATACCTTTATTTTTTTGAGACATCATATATTATCGTTAAGAGGCAATGGAACCTCCAAATTACCGACGGATCGTTGCTCGATTTGGATTCCAACTTTTTTCATAGTAAATCACAATCAATCAAGCGGAAACGTCGAATAGAATCATGTAACGACATACAGAACAAGTTAACAATTATCTTCTTCCAGAAATCTCACCACAGATTTCTGTAAATAAATTTCGATTCATATTTTTCAATTTTTTCACGCTATCAGGAAAAGTTAATTGTTACCGCGTAGTAGTTATAAAATGGCATCCTATAATATAAAACACGGCTGTGATTGATTCGGAAATCATCAAAAATGTTTCGAATCCCTGAAAAGTTGGTAATAACACCGACTATTTTTAGGCTGTGGGCAACCTAACTAGAGTTCAGAGCGAGCTCAGAGATGGCGGCAATGTTCCCCATTTATTTCCGCAACTTCAATTGTCCAACTTTGTGAACGATTTCAATAACATAACCTACAACTTATTTATCATTCATACGTTTCAAGATTGGAATGGGAATGAAAAATCTATTTACCTCGAAAAATGATAATTATAAAGGGAATCTATCATTAGGGATATCCAAGGACTTTGGCTATTTTCTCTAGAGTGGAATGATTTTCGACTTTTGTAGTGGAACATCAGAGTTTTCATGTGAGCTCCATGTGGCCCTAAATTTCCGTAAATTTTCCAATGATTCTATTATTTGAACTTTGCAGGTCTGAATTAGTATCTCGTTATTGAACCGTTAGAAGACATTTTAAAAATCTGAATAAAATTAGAAAGTTCACTTTTGGAGGAAGATTGATGACATACTTTGAAAATTGCAATTTTTGAAAATTACGAGCATTTTCTATAAGCAATTTAGAAGCAATCAATTATTTATCTATAAACAACGAATGTTCGAAAAAATAATAATTATGTGCAAAATGTTATTGGAATAATGTTACTGAATATTCATAATTTTTTTCAAATTTTTCTCACTCAATTTAATTGATAAATTTGATGATTGAAAATGGTTAAATCTATAATATGGGTTATACCAAACTATGAAAGATACTTGGATATCCTTAAATTATTGATGTTTCAATCTCGACCGAGTCAATAGCGTAATGGTCGGCAGTAATGAGTCAACTTCCAAAAGAAATGACTAATTTATTCCAGGATTTGATTTGAACAGGGCATGTGAAAAAGTAGTGAAATTATTTGAGAAAAACACAAAGCTTATTTCTTAAGTATCGCTTTATCAATCTCAAGATATAGAAGATCGATGAGGAGTCTCTTCGCCACATTCACGTTCTAAACAAATGTGTGCTTTTGTTCATTATGTTTTCATTCAAAGGCGAGTTTTTTAAATGGAAAATGTGAAAAAAAATTTGTAGCGACCAAAATTTCGAATAAAAGGTCTTCTGTCATTGATCTTTCACTCTCACTAGATTCGATTCCTTTTAAAGTGTAAAATATAATTATTTTTGTAAAACAACACTGTGGAAAATACTCCTCATGAGTAGAGGAACAGGTTTACACCAGGGTTTATTCACATTCACAAAAATTCTCTGTTTTCCTCCTGAAAATAAGACATTTTTCCGAAGTGCGAGAGCTCAGAAGCAAAGCAGGTGTGTTGCACCTGGTTAACGCCATGTACGAAAAAATGTATTAAAAAGAAAACTAGTGAATTCGATAGGAAAGTCTATTGGATTTCTATTGATCTTCCATGGGAAATTCTGGAAGTTTGTGGGAGAATAGAATTAATTCAAAGGACTTGCGACAATCTGTCAGGACTTTGGGGTGAAAGTTCACAGATGGAATAATTCACGATGTGAAGGGTAAAAAAAATAACAATATTCGATCTGCAGATTCAACTTGAGACGATCGGTAATTTCCAACCGAACCATGCATTTCATATGGTTAACTATTATTCAAAGTTCAGATGTACAGAATCATTTATAGACTGCGTGTTCCTGTTCATGTAGCTATTGTTCATAAATATGCACAATTGGGGAATAACAATCATTTGTATTTTCTTCATCATCATTCACTTAATCTTCCAATGTTGCAGATCCATTGACAAGATATTTAAAGGTACTGAATTATATATTTCAATGGACACATGACTAACATCAGTGACAAGTGTTTCACAACAAATCTCCCAACTATTCTACTTTTATTGACCGTGAATGAACGATAACATCATTACGAACACATCCAGTGGTATAAATGTTTGGAAGAGAATTCTCCAAACTCAAAATTCGATCAACAATTTCCCACTAGGGGGGTCGTTCACGTGATCGAAAGTGATCAGTACGCATCCGTAACGCTCTGTCGTTTATTAGCAATTTTTGTTGTTTTATTGGTTTTCCTTTGCTCGCAAAGTTAGTTTTAAGTGTGGTTAAATATCCCAGCAGTGCTTGGAACAATAAAAACATAGGCACCAGTGCATAATTAGTTATCTTTTGCCCATAAAAAGAAAGTTTACCCAAATATAGAGGTTATTGAGCGTCCAAATTGTGTCACGAACCATATAGAGGGATGAAGGTGCTCTCTTCCACCCGAAATAATACGTCGTCAGTTAGCAGTGAGTGGAGTCTTCTTTTAAGCTGGCCTGAGAAACTCCCAACTTTTGAGGTTATATTGTCCTGGCTTGGGCGGGAGCACACCTGTTAACAATCACAGCGGGTATTGCAGTGCTGCTAATGAATCCGGCGATACTAGCATCTGTGTTATCGGCCGACTGCAAAAATTCCACTGTGGATCGAGATACGCGGTAGCGTATCAGCCAAGAAAAGTTTTGACCGACTGAGTAAAACATCAAGTTTGACCGACTGAGCAAAACATCAGGCCGAGAGCACCGCGTATCTATACCCGACAGAACTTCCTTCTCCACAACCTCTAAATGATTTACATTCGGTATAATGAAAACGGGACGACAAATTGGGAAAGTGTCGTTAGTTACATTATATAAATCGACTATGAGCTTTTCAACTGTGTAACTATGGTATTTTTTAAATTAACAGTAAAAAAGATAGGCGCATAGCAACGAGTGGATATTCACATTCTCGCGATTAACATTATAAAGTGTGAGAATCAAGTTGTCACGTTGGCAGCGCCGGTCCAACTGAGCTTCATATCCAACGTTGAAGTGTTGCCACCAGTGCATTTGAATGTGGGTTGTGATGTTGTTATGAAGAACCACAGAAAATGTTCTTCTTTACGTTAAATCACTTATTAGAATGAAACAGAAAATCGACTCGGTGTTCTATTTTGTTTTCTCTCGTCGAAAATTCGAATTTCATCCCGCCATATCTACAGGGTGTCCCATGGGAATGTGTGAAAACTGTTTGATTTTTTTTTTTTTTACTTGAAACAGCCAACAAGAGAAGGAATACAGTTTCTGATAGAGGAGAGTTGTCATTTTTATTTCACCGTATATTCATTAGTCAAACATGTAATTCACCCAACAAAAATAGTGGCTTATAAAAATTGTACGTGACAAGTGCGATTAATAGTAAATGTTTTCGAAATGAGAGCCATCAACACTGGCGCAATAATCCAAACGTTTCCTAAAACCGTGGAATACACGTTCTAATGTTTCCTGTGGAATACCGTGAAGAGTCTTTTTAATGTTGTTTATCAAATTTTCGATTGTTTTTGGCTTGCTTGCGTAACAAGAATCTTTTATGTAACCCCACAGGAAATAATCACACGGATTCAAATCTGGTGAATAGGGTGGCCAATCTATTCCCCCTCCACAAAATTTTGGATATCCTAAACCAAGAACTCGACCGCGATAAACTGTATTAAGAATTTCAAAAACTTCGTGAGTACGGTGGGGAGCTGCTCCATCCTGCATAAAATAAAACCCATTGACAAGCCCTCTTTTTCTCGCATGAGGAAAGAATTTTTTTTTTTAACATTCTTTTGTACTCATTTCCGGTAACGGTAGATTCGAAAAAATGTAGACAGACACCCTTTATGGAGAGAGCAGCCCAAACAGTGACTTTCTATGGATGAGCAGATTTCGTAACCAAAAAATTAGGTTTTTCAAATCCCCAAAATCTCAAATGATTTTTGTTCACGTAGTTGTCTAGCCAAAAGTATGCCTCGTCAGAAAAAACAATTGCTGTGTCATGCAGCTCGCCATTTTCGAACATTTATGTCATTCTTTCAGAAAATTCCTTTCGTTTCAGAATCGCCTCCCCGGTCAAACACTGACACATCAATATTTTATATGGATAAAGTTACAAAAAAACGTGGAGGATACGATGCAACATTGATTGGGGTCAATTTTAAATCTTGAGCGGCTCTCCGAATGGACGAGTTGGGATTTGCCTTGAAATGCTGTTCAACTTTATCGGCCTTCTCCTCTGTTGCAGCAGAGAATGAGGGACCTGGAAGAGTAGCTCTACGATCATGTGCCGTATTCCTCGAAATTTTCAATTATTCTAGAAAAAGAATATTATCATGACTAGAAACCAACGGGATTTCTACGAAAATCTGTAATGTGTTTTGTTGTGTCACACAATCAATATGAAAAAAAAATTATCCTAACCTCCTCAAAGTGGTTTTGCTAGCAACTCGTTTGGATCCAAATTTAGTACGAAACCTCCTAAAAGCTTTACAGTATTTTTTCCTTCTCGAATAGAAGCACTCGATGAGATATCTTTTTTCTTGAATTGTCAAATCACTCATTACTGCTAACAAACTAAGGCTCCTGCCACAGTTGGAATAAAACTGACTGGCCCCTAGTAAACGTAACACAAACGTAGAGAGTCAAGGTTATTTTGGATGAGTCGGCAGATGAGTTTAGTTTTCACACATTCCTATGGGACACCCTGTATATTCATATGGGGACCTCGGATATAAAGGTAGTTTATGCACTGTTTGTGAGGTTATCGGTTTATGTTTGGAATGGGACAAAAGGGAGATGTGTCGAAAATACTGTGTGATCAAGTATTAAATGTCCGTGAATAGTTAAATTCGAAACAGCCTTTAGAGTCCCCCAGTTGGAACCCCTTTACGTCGGGCCACTTTCCCCTAAACACAGCTGGGCGAGTTATAAAATAGCGAGTCTAGTAACGTCCTACAGACTTCCAGGAGTCGCAGTTCCACCCAAAACCACTATGCCTTCATCGGTCCGTGGCTCTTCTCATCTAGTCCCTGCTCTTTCAGCTGCCACTAGATGTTTCTTCCAGCCTCTCTTATAACAATTTCAAGAGGTCGTATATCTATTTGAGAGGATTTCAATCCGTAACGAGAAAATCTCCTTACAACTACTGAGTTCTCAAATTCCCAGACTATTGAAGTGATATTTGTCATATATTGAAAATTGATTAAATACATATGAAAACAAAGACTTATTGTGAAAAACAATTTTACTGTCCGTTTGCCGGGCAAATATTGAGATATTGAAAATAGTCTATCTCCTCAGTTTTTGAGCTACATAAATTTTTATTTTTATTTTCCAAAAAATGTATAGAATTACTACTGGGAATTATTTCTTTTAATTTTGATCTTTATGCAGCCAGTTTCGTTGTCAATTCAATAATCAATCCAATTTTTTACTTCTTCAATTTTTTTCATGTCAACCGAATTAAACATGAATATTTGGAGAATAGAGGAGGCGCTTCGGTCGCAGTAAGGTTCGGAAGTGTCCGTATCCAGTGGAAGCAATTTCAGTGTGCTAAAATAGTACCCCGGGTGCCAAAAAAAAAAGAGTTGATTACGCAGGGCAAGTGTAGTTGCAACTCAATTACTGTTATCTCAAGACTAGCCCACGCAAAAAAGAAGTGAAGGCCGGTAAAAAAAGAAAGGGAACAACAGTCGGTAAAATCAACAGATAAAAAGGGTACAAACGTACCAGCATACGGAAACAGGAGAAGTGAGAGGCTACAGCGGGAAGCACAGGGAGACGGTACAACTGGAGGTCTCCTGAAATTTCTGAGATCCAAAGACTTCAACATGGAAGAGCTGGAAAACTCTCGTGAATCCCTGCAAGAGTCAAACCTGATTGACAACGAGGACTCCCAGACCGAGGATGAGACAATGATGAACTCCAGGGGATTCTCGGCATCAAAGAGTGGAGATGAAATTATGGTAAGCACTAAGAAAAAAATTAAGGAAAGACAAAAACAAGCAGGATCAACGCCGCTGTATGGCACACAGGCGATTATACAGGAGTCTCTCGAGGATATTTCGACGATCTCGGAGGAAAGTGACATGAGTGGCGCGACGCAAAATGACACCCCACTGACGTCGATGGAGCACAGACATGATGTCGAAAAGAGTTTCGATGATTCAAGTTTACTCACAGTAGGCGCAGTAGACGATGATGGAGCAGTCAACTCAACTCCCTGGCGATTTCCCACTATCTAAGAGTGTTGCGTGTCAAAATGCGAAATTACCTTTTTTTTTTTGAAATTATTCCCATGCATTTATTAGAATTTTTGCCTCTCTCAATTCAAGTATTTTTCCCAATAGAATTTCGTAGAATTTTAGTGAAAATCAGTCCCATCGTCTAGACAGTCGTGATCATAAAATTCATTCAAGAATTATTCTTAAATATCTTTGTTCGAATCTTTACAAATATTTTCATTTAAAACTAGAATCGTTTTATTGATGTAATCCTCGAAATGCCTCAAGTATTTTGTAAAGGGCATTTCTCAGCATTTTAATCATCGCCAAACTGGCCTAATCCCTCCATTGACAACAAACTTATATATTTTGAAATTGTTTTACGACAGCACCCTTGTAGTATTCACATCCCAACTGTAATGATCACCTCTCCTACCTTTATTGCACTCGTTCCTCGATAATCCCTTGCAAACTTTACCTAGGTACTTTCACTCGGACCCCTGCAATTGGGGAAAAGGCCCAAACCCGGGTCAACCTCTCCCCCTGCACCTCATTTCCAGACATCCGAATTCTCCACTACACTTCTCCAATCAGGATATAGTTCCTCCCATCGTAGGTCTTCTTGACCAATCATTTGCAAATTGAGTAGCTATTTTCCCTCCACTAATTTTCATCCCTTCCACCTAAGAAACTCCAACTTGTCCTAAAAAATATACTTTTATAGTCAGTAACGAACAGAAGCTTATCGAAGAAACACCTTATCGAAGGTACACTTGTCTTGTGAATTGTAACTTTGTCTTTATTGTTATAGAATAAATATCGAAGTTAAGTGTTAGAAACGTGAGTGATTATTCCAAGTCTCCACATATCTAAGTCTCCTCACACCTAACATTTTCCTCCCACAGAATTTCCCTCTCTCATCATAAATAAACAGTTACACAAAGATTAATTCAGCGTGTAACAAAAAATTGCAAATATTGCTCTGTATAGATCAGATCTCTGGAATTTACGTCTCCAGAAAGTTCAAATCGACCGCAGTATTTCCGCAGTTTAAAACAAAAAGACCGAGAAGTCCCCCGCCATGTCAGTGCTGACCCCAGTCCCATCAGACAACATAACACCCAGACAGATCTCCATTGGAGACCCTGGAGGCATCCAAGGACCCTCACTCCTAACTATCCGGCTAGAAAGTTTGAGAACAGACTACAGAAATTGAAAAAACTCCAACGCCAAGGCCAGCAGACACACAGGAATAATCTGTCAAGCCTACTAGCAACACTAGAGGCGAGCCGGGGGCTTATACCCA